CATCAGCCAGGCATATGATAGTGCCCAGGAGAAGGCAGGATAGAAGCACCTTCAACTTTGTTTGTGTCACACCGGGTCAAATATAGGAGCCGCTTTTTGCAATTCACTGTGGAGCGGCCTAAAAAAACGATCATTTCTCCTTTGCAGGCTTTCACATCCTTTCTACAGGCGGAGTGCTGTTCTGACAAGATAGCAGCTCTAACAAGCAGAGCACATGCTCAGGAAAGGGCTGGGATTTGCCTTCACTGCCTTTTAAGGCCGAACAATAGTAACAACATGTAGCAACAGTATTATGTAACAGTCAGACTTCCAAAAGAGTGCTTTTTGACAGACCATCCTGGCCACCACGATGCTTGAAATGGCGAGTGCACTTGCCCCAGTTTAAACCAGGAACAGTCCTTGGGTTGATGGAAGACATTTTGCACCGCTTTGACGCATAACTCATCCACACCTCACAGACCAGCAGCCCAGCACTTTGCTGGTTTCGATGCCGGATGGAACAATAAAGAGAGAACGCGAGTGTATAGGATATATGATACGATCCTCGCAAAAGCGATCAAAGGCAGGTGCAGGATTTCTTCCGTCAACAGTTCTACTCATTTGTTTTCTTTCGCGGGATCATCTAAACACGCATTAGAGAGGCGACACGAAATGTCAGTCATTTTCATCCTGAGGCCACATCGCATTAGAACCTACGTGTTTCTGCAGCTCGCGTCTATTGCAGCCTGGCTGTTGCTGCTTCGAGTACACTTCTTAGTGGATCAGCAAGCTCGATAGGCAAGATCAGACATATGTTTTTCGTTCATCTATATGTTTCAATGTTGTCAGGAAGAAACCATCAATGTTTTGATACCTACGGCATTGCTGTGGGGGTCAGCAATGCTGGGTGATGCTATCCTTGCCGGGCACCAGGAGGTTCTCCAGTTCGTATGGAGCAATACAATGAGTAATTGAGGTAGGTGTCCTGAACTGGTCCTGTGTTGCAGTTATACATGATGTTACACGCTTACATTATGCATGTACACACTATGTATTGTGATTCCTTGGTTTTATCTTGCATGCCATTTAGACCGACAAATGTTCGTTGTTTGCGCGAGATAGGGATTGGAAACTCATCCTTCCTGGTGAAGTGAAGTGTAAGTGTTTGGTGTCCTTGACTTGCTATTCTAGTGCTCAAGGAGTTGTGAGTCGTGAGTGCTGTTATTTGGGTCTTTCAGCCGGCTCTTTCTTTGTAAAACATCTTTTGCACTGGCACAAAGGCTGTTTCAGACTGAGTGCGAGAGAAGCTCACTCTCAAACTTGGGTTTTCTCCTTCTCGTGAAAAAGACCTGGCACTGGCACCTTTCCAGTTGTCCTTAAAGAGAAGTTATATAACTCAAACTTGTGAGTTGTTTTTTGTTTGAAGATCTTGAAGCTCTTGCGGTGTATTCCGACAATTAATCTTGTGACACGTTGTATGAACGTTGGTAGCGTCATGAACACAATGAAGAAGATGCAACAGAACGGAGGTTCATTGAACATGGGACTCAGGTCCAACGCCCGTGGATCAAGTCCAAAGAGGACTGCTCTTGTGGGTTGCGCAGTCGAGGACATTTGCACCTTTAGATACCTACCTTCTTAATTCGTCATGCTTGGCAAGGCCGAATACTACTTGTGGATGTGCTACAAGGACAGCTTGGTGTGCGATCTTTTTGAGAATCCACTTGCAATGTATTTGTCCTCCATCCAGGAAAGCTTTGATCAAGCCAACCTGATTGCCGCCTGTGACTTGGGAATGCTGTGTGTAGTGTAGTTTTTGCCGTGTTTGCAGTGTTTGGATGATATGGTCAGAGCAGCTGCTTGTCTGAAGAGTGGGCGTATCACCAAAGCGTGTATTTTGTTCGCTGCTTTCAGCTTAAGGCTGACAGAGATGCAACAGATAGTATGGACGGCAAGATCTCTCGCCTCAAGCGGGACTGCACCTTCGATACTCTGCGTGCATGTCGTCGCTGTATGATTGAGTCGGGCGCGCCAGCCATAGATACAAGAAGCCAAAATAATTAGATAAAGCAAAACAAAGCAAAAGGTAAAGCAAACAAAAAAGCAACAACATGTAGCTGTGCGTGTTTGTCGCCTTTTTTTCTTTTTTCACATTGTTTTGTCCGCTTTATTTTTCGCTTGTTTTTTGTTTCGCTTTTGTTTCGTGTTTTTTTTCTTCGCTTTTTCCCTAGGAGCGTACATCAAATATTGCTCACGGGTAAAAGTTCTCATAAGTGCAGAAGTAGTACCAGGAAAAAAAACAACACATGCAAAAACAAAGCAAATTGCGATGCTTTTGCATTTTCATTTGCGCTTGTTTTTTTTTTTTTTTTCGCTTTTTTCACAAAAGTATATAATTATTTGATGGTTGGTCATGTATGGCTGCCATTGCCCAACACAACTGTATGATGTGTCCGTCACGACTATGATTATCTAAGATTGTTTTGCAATATGTTTGTAGAAGTGCAAATCATGGAAGCTGTATTTCAAGCATAAAGAATCATAAAAAGAACGTGTCCAATTACAGGACAACAAGAACCTCTTCAAGCAAGTGACAACGGCTGCTCGGCAAACGCAAAAGATGTTCCTGCAATAAGTACAGCTTTTTTTGCTTTGTACTTATATACATTTTACTCATGAACAGCGAGGAGATCAATTCGCCGGGGTCTGAGAACTGATGATTGGCAACAATGCCTGATGCTCCCCACCAGTTCAAGTGTCAAGATACTCAGAATGTGATATGGTAGAATATCCTGCCACAGAGACAAAAAAAGAGGCAGAACCATGGAATGATTGACACAGCCTGTGCGCCTCAGGATCTCAAGACACATATCTGAGCAGAATCAAGTCCTCAACCAGAAGGTCCAGGCGCTACTGTATTTTGATGTATTTTGTCGACACTTCATCATTTGTTCGATTCCAAAGGTTCCATCTCTCTTCAGTCATATTGTATAGTGTCTAGTAATGCTCAAATTTTAGACGTAAAGACAGTGAAGATCCATTCTCTTCATGCACATCGCACTGTCGCATGGTAGTTTGTCGGCAGGACACGGCATTGTCAGATTTCTGTCCAAACTTTGTCCGATCACTTTGACACTCTTTTCATATCTTTTCTCGTAGAACATCTGTTTTCCTCACATCGACCACAGAGGTAGCTAGGTTTTAGATAATTACCAAGGAATGTCGGGCAAACTTAGCCTTTTTATGCCTTGTTTTCATGTGTGGTGTCTTTTCAAATGTGCATTCTTCCCTTGCATGTTGTGCATTTCCTTCGTTCTTGGAAGTAAAGCCAAGCTTGCGAACCCGCTTGACATCTTGCAAAGCAATACACAACACGTTTATGCTTTATACAATTGTTTTGTCGATTGTTCTTCAGCAAATTTGACAACTTTATAGCCTATGGCAGCGAACGCATCGTTCTCGGATCGTGACCTGAGTAGAGCTGACTTGCTTTCCCGTGTCCTTGATCCCCTGGGCCTGAGCCTCCAATGTAGTTGCAAAGGTGCCAACTCCACAGGATACAGACACAGAATCGAATCATAATGGCAGATAGAATTTAGAATCATAGTCTTTGACCTGTTCAGGCAACATAGCTATATAACTGTTTCAATGCCGTCCGATGTTTGATGGCTGCGTGTTTACACCAGAATCACAACCTTCAGATTTTAAACTGCCGCCAGGGCATGGACAGTCGTCTTCAAGGCCGGATGAAACCTGCCTCTACTAAAACTGCATAGTCTCACCCAAATTCAGCTTAACTCATTTTCAACTCTTGATGTACTGTATGTACTGTCGACCAGTTTGTCACCTTAGGAGTTTCAGACATTGGCAGCAGGTCACAATGCGAGGGCGACAGAATCTTCAGTGACATGTTCTTGAGATTATTGTATACTGTATGAGTACATATATATATATACACATACTGTACATACTTAGGACTTATGACTCATATGACTTGTGCCAGCAACATGAAAGACCCACCATCTTTCATTTTCAGACGCCCAAACTCTACTGCATGTCACTTCACTGTGTGGAAGGCCTTGAGAGTTTGATAGAGGATTTGCACACGAGTATCCAGCACATTGCCAATGCACGAGGCTCAGAGATTATCGCACCCACCTCGACATTTTTGGTCTCCACTTCTAAGGCTCGAGTTCAAGAAAGCCCACACCTGCTCGAATGAGACATAATAGGGTCACAAAAGACCTGGACTATATAGACAAATTGCCAGGTATGTTATGTGGATATGAGGATATGAGTCAGAATTTGCCCTGAATTGATGTCGAAGACACAATCACCGGCAGTGGCCGTGTGCGACAGCTGGAGAAAAGTCAAAGCGCTAAGAATTGTTCTTTAGTGCTTCAAAGTTGCAACAAACTGCAATGTAATTGAATGCTTGTCATATTTTCGAAACCAAAAGCATAGAATTGCTGGCTCTGAATCACAAATGGTTGGATTCCAACGGATTCTATCAGTAATCATCTCGTGTTCTTGTGGACTTAACTGTCATGTGTTTTTGCATTGAAATCACCAGCAACCCTTGTACGACTTGCATGAAAAGCAAAGCGGAAGAATGCATGTGGTACATGTATGCAAGCTAGCAATACAGATCATGTTTCTGGTGACAAGCAAGCATATTCAAAGCCTTCCCATGACAATCCAAGCAAACAACACTGAGCGTAGCAGGGTGACTAACACCACTCCGCAGAATCTGCAAAGCGGTTTCTTGAACGAGGCCCTTTCTCAAACACACTCCCTCCGCAGGTTCAGGACTCACTCAATTCCGCACTATTTTGAGAGTCAGGTGTTCATGGCCTATCCCACTGCTGGGCATGCAAGCCTGACCTGTTTTACTTTCACATCTTCTGCATGTTCACTGTGGTGCCAATCACCGTCAATTCAGAACATGAGAACACGAGTGCATTGCCTTCAGGCAGAGAGCAGGACAAAGAAAGCCTACCCAGCGGCGCGAAGCTATGAGAGCTCGAACAAGTGTGTTCTTTGAGTGTAGAACCCAGGGATGGTACAAGCATGTCAAGGTGTAGCAAGGCCTACTCGTAAGGGCCAAGCCCCAAGTAACTACCTGAATGGTCCAGCCCAGCAGCTCAACTTCAGTTGCTTTTGGCAAAACTCAGTGCACTGTGCACTCTATGTACATCTGGAGGCGCTCTCTTCAAGGACCTCAGTCTCATCTCGAGGAGCACCTGGCACCTCACCCCAGGTGCACCATGCACGCTATGTTACAACTGTGATCTTCTGTGACATTACAGCTTATATATATGATTATATATGCTTAATATTTATATATATATACATATACTGATTATCGTTTGTGTCTAGTTTTCTACCAAGCATTCGCTGCTTCTTTTTGAATATCCTAAGTGTTCTTGAGTTGATGAGCCTGGCTCGATCCGCGCTCAGCGTCCAATGTCCGTCTCCGGCCTGGATCACAAGAGCATTGTTGCCATGAGCCAGCTTTGCACTGAGGAGACCCGAGGGAATCATAGCGGCAGTGCACAGAGGGAGCATAGTATGCAATTACTAGTAGCTTCTTGTTACTACAGTAGTAGTACGGCCAGGAGCCCCTAGTAGCGTCCTTGCCCCTAGTAGCAAAAAAAAACATCAGTCACCAATTGGCAACCTCTACTGACACTTCATTGCCCTGGACTCCCTGGACCCTAGCACCCACGTCTGGGGAAAAGACATGTGTAGAGTTACAACTTCAGCCAAGAGCTCTAGGACTTGGACGCAAAGATGAGAGAGAAGTCTGCCCTATCCAAACAGCTGGCGGACCTAAAGCGAGCAAAATTGCAGTCGCTTGGCACCGGCATTCGTAATCACTTTGTTCTGAAGTGACCTTAAACTCCTTCCATTCCCACCAGCCATATTATGAAGAGTCGTGTTATACATCTCGCACTCAGAACCCAGGTATGACACAAAGCTGCAAAAGAAGAAGAAAGAAGATGATAGCGTGATTGTGCAGACCATGGATATGGACTGGTGATGCTCAGACTTATGTTGCAATAAAGATCAAGTTGGCAAACTTCTCATTCAGTATAATGTTCAAAGTCAAAGCCTTCTACATATCCTGACCGAATTCAGCTGTTGTGACAGGAGAAGAAGTTGCAGACGCTCAACAACAGCCACTCAGCTTCAGTTGCCAAGACTTGGCAACAGTGTTTTGTTTTCCGCTATATGTATATAATTAATTACCTGTCATGGGCTGTTGACATTTGACAGGCAATCGGGTTGCAACCGCGGAGCTTTCAGGCAAGCCCAAAGTTGTGTGTTGTGGAATGATGGGCGTTTGCAGCTGTTTCACAACCCCAAAAGAGATGTGACTATAGCTTGATAGTTTAAACGTGTACAAAGCAAACGCTTATTTCAAAACAATCCAAAAAAAAACAACAGAAAATCGTTTATTCATGGACTGTTGACGTCCGAGCATCTTGAGAAACCACGTTTTTGTTTTACGAGACTTTGTTTTTAGTTGATTTTGTGTTGTTTTCTTTGTCAAAGACTCTTGGTCCAAACAAGGCTTGGGAGCTGAGAATGAGCGCTTGCGTCAAGACATCGATGCGTTGAGGTCGCATTTGCAAGAGGCAAATCGGCGAACACCGAACGGCTTAGAGTCTTAGAGGGGACCATGGGGGACATGAAGTGCCATGAATATGTCTTTATACATTGTATATAATATATGTAATAAATCGGCCATGATGAAGGTAGTAAGTTTAGTCAGATGTGGTGAGGAGGTGGCAGATATTGGAATAGCAAGCTTTGATAAGATGAATGAGTAGCTACTTTGAATAGCCACCCGCAAGGTCCTGCAGGGATGCAGTGGAGTTAGGTAGAGTTGAGGTTCTTCAAGGAAGTCCCCCAGTACAGGGGGGGCAGAAGCTTTCTTGAATGAAATGGTTCCTTGATTTCAGGGGAAATAAGCTTTAAGTCTTTAAGTGCAGTAATGAGCACTGCAGCACTAGGCAGGTCCAGGTCAAACCTGTGGCTGCTTGCAACTGACAAGAGCAAGATTCGAAATACACATTGACATGACTGCACAGTAGGATCTTGTAGATTGTAGATGAGGTGCCTGCGGCAGCAAGTTGCTTCGACCTTCTATGGACTCGCTCCAAGCCTCATATGCTGAGTCTGCAGGCCACAGTGGCCTATGAGACGGAATGCGAGGCTTTGGAGGGACTGAAGCAAGCTTTACAGGCTACGCGCAAGGACCTTTCAAAAGTGGGTTGCAACATGCTCCAGACAGTTTTGGAATGATTTTGGTGATTCTCGTGCAATGTGCTGACTGGCAACTCTCGTGACTCCTGAGGAGCTCGCTGCTGAGACAAAGCAGCGGGACGTTGTCCAGCAGGACGAGAGACGTTATTGCTGTCCGACGTTGTCCGAGCCATTACAGTTCCAAGTGATTTCAAATCATTTTGCTACAAAGACAATTTTGCAAATCTTGCAGGATCTCCGGGCCTCAAGAACGGCCCAAACCCTCATGATTAATCGTCTTGATGACATTGAGAGAAGGCGACCGCAGGGCCTATGCCATGAGAATTTTGAGATGATATTGCAACAAGTAAAATTCAATTTCTGCGATTTGCTCTTTGCCTTTCACAGAATAAAGTGATTGGTGATTGCAGGAATAAAGCGCTGAAGAATTGTGTTGCCAGTGCAATGAGTCGCTGATTCGCCGGCTAGCCTGGAATGCCTTCATGTTAGCACTCGCTTTCATGCTACGTGTGTAAGATATTGTAACAACATACTAAGACTCAGTTTGCAAAGTTTGCACAAAAAATGTTATATAGTTTGACTCTTGGCACACCTGGCTGACCCAGCTGACCTGGCTCCCGGATCTTGTGGGTGCATGGAAAGTGGTGCCTGGTTGCAAAAGTTGCATGTAGAGCTCAAGCTGTGCAAACACAGATTTTTGCTGTAGCAGTTGATGTCAAACTTCAAAGAAACGCGTGAACTCACACTAAGAGGCAGACATGGTTTTGGACTTTGCTTTTTGTGATATGCTGGGCTCACAGCTGGACAAGTAGTACTGCCCACTGTGAGAAGTCCGAGGCCCTCATTCGCGCGATTGCTCAGATAGGACGCAGCCGTTTGCGAAGCTTCAGGTCTACTGGAAACCATGAGCGGCCTAATGGAATACAATGGCCAAAGCCTCAGTGCACAACCTCTCCATTTGTGCGAACAAATTTCATAGAAATCAAATAGCTGACACTGACGCATCATGAATCGTGAGGCTCTGCCATTGTGGCCATGACAGGTGAGAATTGTGCCGGGAACTGAGCTGACGCTGCTGCGAGAATCTTTGAGAATCTATCTACAGTGATGCAATTTCTCTTCCGATGGTTTGAGTGCCCTGATACAGTGGGGATGAGAAACAGAGAGATGGTAAGATGTTCATTAGGTGCAAGTGCAAGCCCAACATTTTTGAACCTTTGCCTTCTATTCAAGGTGGGCATCGCGGCAGATACGCGCCATGGAGTGCGGTTCTTAGGTGTAACGGATGCTCGAGCATCCGCCGAAATCCAACCTGAATCATTGAAAATGTTTCTGTGTCTTTCCAGCTGTTTTCACTCGTGTTGTGGCTGAGATTCGGCAGCTGCAGACAGTCAGCTGTAATAGGTGAACGTCTCAGGGTGGTTTGTTTTTCCTTCGTGCACCTTTTCAGAACAGAATCAGATCTGAAGTCGTCTTTTGACCATATTTGACCCATAGTGTCTCGACTGTTGCAGGCAGAAGACTTTCCAGGTGTCAGATTCTGAGACGCAGTGGATTTGGCTCAGATTGTAGACGAAGCATGCGAGCGATCTGTCAGGACAGATCAATGCTTTGTGGGGCTGGCCGGGTTGGCCACAGATGTGGTTGCCTCAGCGACATGCTCCTTTTCTCTTCTGGCAGCATGGGTAGAAGCCAAAATATGCAGATTCTCAGGCTCATGTACATACTTTACACATCCCTCCGGGTTTGCACTCGCTCGTAGGGTTTGGGTGCCGATCTTTGACTCTGGTCCCTGTGGTGTCATTCCGTAGTTACATATTTACAGTTACATAATATATATATATACAGTTATATAGTTACATGGGTAGAAGCTACTAGGGGCTCCTGGCATCGCTACTAGGAGCAAGGACGCTACCCTGGAGCTCCTGGCCTTACTACCTCGAGCAAAGGGCAGCAGCATTCATGGAGTAAATCTATTCCGGTCGCTTCGCGACGATAACTGCCCAGACCATTTGCTCTGAGAGACAGCACAAGGAAACATTGAACACCCCTGCCATCCACTGCATAGTGCTGTTCATCTCTAGGTCTTATGTCGATCATGTATGTTGTAAAGTTTGTTGGTTCAGCTATTTGAACAGAGTAACTTTAGAAGATTTGTTCCACTGTGATGTTCTTCACCTTTTTGATCCTGGTGCCATTTTGGTCTCAAGAGACTGGCACTGGTGACCCAGTTCACTTTTGCCCCAAACCCGCCCACCCTGTAACATGATTGAGCTGCAGGTGTGGGCGCATGTTCACGCACTTGGTCATAACCGCTCTCCTGGAGTGTCAACTTGTTGCTTTGCTTGTGCTCGCTATTTTGAACCCTCGCTTCCTGTTGGTGATGCGCTCACTTGAGACAGGCGGGTCGAGCTCAGACAGTTGTGCAGGCATCTAGATGTAAGACCAGATATTGCTCACCCCCATGCCTTGAGCAGTCCAAAAAGTGTGCGATTGGACTGCTGGAGTGTTCACATGTTCAGTTCACGGTGGAAGGGAAGGCTCCAGTCGACCGCACGAATCGTTCCTAAATTTAATCACTCTTTGTTCCACCCGCTTGAAATTGTACCTTAACAATGCTTACGTACAGTGCTTTCTCCCATATGCTGCTTCTTTCATTCATCCACTGCATGGTACCGTTCATCTCTAGGTCTTATCTTGATCATGTACAGTAAGTTGTATAGTTGTTGGAAGCGTTGATCTCCAAGTCCTATGTCGATCATGCTTATTATCGTATAGTTATGTACACTCAATCTATCTTTTACTGTGTGTCTCATTGTGGTATTATCATCACCACGTCCATGAAAGCAACAAAAACGTACCACTTCATGTCCTGTCCTAGATCATATGGCGCACCACTTCCACATAAAATGTTGCAAAGCCTTGCGTAATTTTCACAGTGTTTTTGCATGTTCTCTCCCACCACTTCCCCTCCAGACACACCTCATGACGCCCCCCCCAAAGTTAGAGCTACAGGAACTCAGTGTTCGCACCAGAACTTATACACCCCCCCTCAGCACCTCCAGTGCGGGCGGTTCTTTTAAATCGGTGTTCAACTGCTGTGTCTCGGGGCTGCTCTTGTGCTTCTGCTGCTTCTATGACCATCATTGTTAACTGTTAATATTTATACAACTTACTCCTTCCGCTGTTTCTCGTACGCAGCATTTCACTGTTGATCCCCCATTAGACAACTTCCGCACTGTGTCAATAGAGTCAATACTCCAGACTGTAAAAGGATCACATACTTGGACGTTTCTCACTCTGAAGTTACTTCTCAAGGTTCAGACGCTTAGCCAGCTCTTGAACTTCCGGATGAAGCTCTTCACTCTTCGCGAGGCTGCGGACTCAAATATTAACGGGTGCACCTTATGAATTCTTTTGTGATAAGTGTTGATTTGGCAATGCAACACGAAAGTGGTGCAGGAGCGAAAGATGCAGCCTCGCATGATTGGCAATATGATCTCTTCCATGCTGTGCTCCGTCCAGCTTGTATTGTTGATTGACAAGGACACAGAGTCACAGAGATGCACAAGGTCCTTTGATGGGAACCATTTGGTGTCGCGAGATCAGAGCAGTTACTATATAGTATGTTGTGAAAGGTACGAGAAGCGGTTCGGACCGTGGTTCACAGAGCCGGTCGTCGCCGGCCTGGACGACAACCACAAGCCGCCATGGCCTCTTGCATCAGCAGTTGGAAAAGGTTCTTGCACGATTGGTGATGTCAAAGGTTCGTGTGCGCCTTCGACTTCATTGGATGTCTTTCTACTGCGGAGGAGCGTATGAAGCACACACACACACCTGTTTGCGTGCACGCCATGTTTTTGTGTTGTACCATGGCTGTGTGAGACGAGGCATTCTAATGTTCTCCAGACATCTTGATATACAGAATGAAGTTGATTCAGCTTGCACAGCCCACATAGAGTCTTACCATAAAAGCAAAATCAAAGCCCATAACGAGTACCTGCAAACGGATTTTCTGTTTCTGTCAAGGACTTTGTTGTCTCTGGCACCACTTCTGAGCAGCTCTTTGGCGTTTGCGAGTCCTTCTGGCGGCCTGGTGGGGAGACCCAACAGCTCACTCCGTTTTATTGCCTTCAATCAGAAGCTCATCAGCTCTCTAAAAAGGCTATAGCTGTATATATATATTTGTGCATTGTGGTGCTATTGTTGAAGGTATGAACAAGGATGAGCTCTTTGAGACCCTTTCCCAGTGCGCCCAACAGCCCAACGGGGAAGAGCTGGCAAGCAATATCGAGCTGACGTGTTATACAGGACGAGCCGGGACCGGCCGACTTGATACACAACCTCTATGCCAAATACGTTCTGATCCGGAACAGAAACCTTGTATACTTTTATATCAGATCTCTTCTCTTGTCAAGGTGTCTACTATCTGGTGTGGATCGTGACTGCCTGGCAGGCATTCCTCTTTTGTATCTTGCCTTTGTATGTCTTTGTTAGACTTGGTCAGCAACGTAGCACGTGGTCTTGCCTTGACAGGCTGGGGTGGTGTGGTGCACGTCATTACGCCAGATGAAATCATTACCAAGAAGTTGAAGGGTCGTCCAGCCCTTGGATCAAGCATTCATAGGAGCTGTCCCTTTCTTGACCTTGACCTTGTCCACCTGGAATAAGGCATGGACTAGCACTTGCAGTGAAAGTGAGAGAGTGCCCTGTGAACGAACACATGCACAGGCTGAAGCTGAAATTGCACTCCTCTTGAACGAGAGTATACAGTATTCATCTTGGTGTATAGTTGAAGGCAGAAGGGTCCTTGAAGAATATCTAGGCGTTGCATACCGTCACATGTTCTCCATGTACCCACCTATCCACATGGCATGTCGACCCAGTGTGGCCAGCTTCGATATTCGCACCTGCTCGTAGAGGCACGGCAGTCACAGATGCCTGAAAAGAGCACAAAACATGTCCGCCTCCCTAAGTCCTGTGATCTCAGACTGTAATGTTTACCTGTTGTGTTTGGGAGTTTTAGTTTAGACATGTCTAGACGAATTCAAGTCGAAATTGCTTGGCTCAGACAAATTCCTTCTGAGGCAGAGAGGCTCAGGGCAGCTGCTTCGCGGCTGTCACAGTTTCTTGTTTCACCCCTCCAAAGATCCATGTTATTGATGCATCCAAGCTTCATTAGACATGCAGTCTTGCAAGCCTTTCAAGCAAGGCAAATGAGACGAGCCAAACACTTTCATCGCCGCAGCTCTCTTTGCCATGCCTCCATGGAGCGTGACGGCAAAACGGCTGTTCGCCCGTTCCAACCGCTGCTCTCACCGCTGAGTCGAAATGGCTTGAGGCCCAAGTGGCCAGAGTGGCCGAGCCGCTTGGAGCCTGTCTTGTCATCTCATGCTAAAGCCAGACGGAGCGAACGCAAAGCGGATAGCGAGCTATCCAATGAGTTGCGGACTCAGAGATTCGTTGCACAGTCCTTTATGCCCAGCTGCGTTAATCCCTCGGATTGAATTAGTCACACTAGCTTGGGCTCAAGAATCAAGGAGCATTGAGGGGTTTAGGCGAGAGGGAAGTTTCCTGTCCCACTCACACTGAGACGTCAAGGACCAAGAAGACCCATGGTCAAAGGTTCCCCTTTGAGCGGCAACTTTGGCCCTCAATGTATTTTGCTAGTTTTTATATATGTTGCATCCTGATTGCCAAATTTAAAGTTGTAAGGAATACCGCAATAAGCATCAAACAAATGGCTTTTCGTATCTTTTGTAGTATGACGGGCGAGGCAATGTGTTGCGTTTACGTTTGGTGTTGTCATTGTGTGTCATTGCTTGTTGTTTGCTCTCATGTTTTTCTTGGTGTGTTGTCAAGTATTACTTATATATATATATATGTGTTGTGGCTATGCGTGGTGTTGCCATTGTGCGTGTGTCTTGTTGTTCGCAGTTTGTTGTCATGTTGGCCACTGACCGGACGCAGCTGGCGGGACGTTGTGCTTAGTTGTGGTTGTGTGTGTGTGTGCGCGCTCGTGCTCGCCCCTGTGTGTTGTTTGATGGATTGGGTTTCATTGGACTGGCCAGGCACTGGCTGATGCCCTGCAACAGCAGAGCAAAGGTCACGATAGGGTGGGTGATCTCCTTTGTGGTTGTGTTTGCCGCTGTCATTATTTGTCTTCTTGTTTGTGGTCCACCGTCGTTTAAGTTTGTGTCACGGGTGTTGTCAACTGTTATGTTTGGTGGGGAACCACCGCCATTTTGTTCCTGAAACACCACGACATATATACACATGTTTAGACTCCTCCCTTCAATCAGCATTCCTAGGTCCTAGTTGACATTGTGCAAAACAAGTTTTCCAAGGAGTAGTTCGCGAACACCATGGATTTGATTTCTATGAGTTCTTTGGTGGTTAGTAGTTCGAATCAAGGTAAGGCAACCTGTTGCAAATAGAATCACCACTGAGCCACTGAGCAAGTGATGTCCTTTGATAACTTCCTTGCACTCATGTGGTTTCATCGCGTTCAGCAACGCAGGAATTTGGCAAGGAAGTTGGAAAAGGACATGCTTTTGATATTTTCGATATTGTATTTTCGTGTCCTTTTTTAGTGGCAGTTCTTTTACCAGACTCCCTGGGTGTGTTCTGGTGGAATTCTCTGAACATCCTTCAATTGTTTGAGGGGGAGATTTACGAATCAAGATCCAGTCAAACATTCTCAGGTGCTACCAGGAACAAGAAGCTACTAGGGGCTCCTGGCCGTACTACTACAAGCAAGGACGCTACTAGGGGCTCCTGGCCTTACTGCTAGGAACAAGAAGCTACTAGTCACTAGGAACAATAAGCATCAGTCCAACATTCTCAGGTGCTGTCAATGGTGTCACCATGTTTCTCAGCATCGTCCTTCGTCCCTGTTTGTATTTAGCCTTCTGGTGGCCCGCATCGAGAAGATCAGCAGAATGTGTTTGATAATGTCATAAGAACATAGTAAATCATGGTAAACTTACTAAGTTGAGGTCGCCTCCGACGATAAGCCTGGAGTTTGAGGTATCGGAGGCAGCGGCACCAGTTGAATCATGCAAGCAAACGGGATCAAGCACTGCTCCAGTTCTGCTCCAGGATCAAACACCGCAGCCGCGTGCCCCTCGCCCACCTGTGAGAGCCGCACAGCCTGCACCCAAGCACTCGAGTCACTCGACAATTTTTGTTCAGTCTAGGATACTCTAGGGCCTTCTTTCTGCTTGGTGTTTCCAGCTTCCAACTCATGACACAGACACACAGACATCTTGAGGGTAGTACTGACTTGATGTTAAGTGAGAGCTGAACTTCTCAACCAAATAGAGTCCAAGAGCAGGAACGATACAATGGATGCAACGAGGACATATTGAGTTGTAATTAAGGAATGTAGACCCAGCGAAACGGACACAAGGAAAGAAGGACTGGAAAGATGTTTTCGTTCTGAGGCTTCGAAGGCGCAATTGCAGGTGGCTCAGAGATGCTGTTTGCATTTGACAAAACCCGAAAGACTTTAAAGCGTACTTAGTACTTGATACTTGTATCATTTTGATTCATTCAAGGTTTTACACACAAATGGAGGCTTGCAACATGCCAGCTTCAAAATGCAAGCTCCACAACCATGTGCAAATCAACAACAAGGTGGTTTGCGAAGGATTCGGGTGTTATATTTATGAGGCTTACGCCTGACAGCCGGGCGCCGGCCTATTTGGGTTTGGGTATGGGTATGTGCAGGGCTGGGTCCTCTCTCTCTCTCTGTCTCTCTCTGTCTCTCTGTCTCTCTCTCTCTCTCTTTCTTTGAGACTTGGTGGGGCCTATATTGAGCAAAGTTAAGCTATCTGGTGCGCATCTTGGCCCTAGGTTGGGCCAAGTTGCGCCCATGTGGTCTATGTTGGGCACATCTTGGGCCCAAGTTGAGCCTATGTTGGGCCTAGGTTGGGCCTATGTTAGGCCTATGTTGGCCTAGGTTGGGCCTATGTTGGGCCTATGTTGGCGTATGTTGGCCCCATGTTGGCCTATGTTGGCCCTATGTTGAGCCATCTTGGAGGCTATGTTGGGCATATGTTGGGGATATGTTGGCTATCTTGGGCCTATGTTGGGGATATGTTAAGCAACTTATGTGCCCAACGCCCACGAAATGTCGATTAAGCCTGTCCGCGCGACACGCATAACTGACACCACCGGCGCCCTGTTAGGCGCAAGTCATGTCCGCCGAAGGCCACGAAACACTGTAAAAACTGATGTTTTTGAACATTTTTTGAACATCCTGCGCAAGATACATATAAATCTGTCGACCGGATTCGGGCGGAGGTCGGGCGGAGGTATCCCCGCGGTCCAACAAAAGGGTCGGCGGCAGGGGCGGCGAGCGTATATAACCTTCGGTTACCAACCGAAGGCCTCCGGCAAGGACACGGGCCCGTGGCCGGCGCCCGGATTTATGAGGCTTACGCCTGACAGCCGGGCGCCGGCCTATTTGGGTTTGGGTATGCGCAGGGCTGGGTCCTGTCTCTCTCTCTTTGTCTCTCTGTCTCTCTCCCTCTCTCTCTCTCTCACACACCTGTCTCTCTCTTTGAGACTTGGTGGAGCTATCTGGTGCGCATCTTGGCCGTAGGTTGGGCCAAGTTGAGCCCATGCGGTCTATGTTGGGCACATCTTGGGCCCAAGTTGAGCCTATGTTGGGCCTAGGTCGGCCTATGTTACGCCTATGTTGGCCTAGGTTGGGCCTATGTTGGCCCCATGTTGGCCTATGTTGGCCCTATGTTGAGCCATCTTGGAGGCTATGTTGGGCATATGTTGGCTATCTTGGGCCTATGTTGGGGATATGTTAGGCAACTTCTGTGCCCAACGCCCACGAAATGTCGATTAAGCCTGTCCGCGCGGCACGCATAACTGACACCACGGGCACCCTGTCGTGGACGCCGAAGGCCACGAAACACTGTAAAAAACGATGTTTTTGAACCTTTCTCGAACATCCAGCGCAAGATACATATAAATCTGTCGGGCGGATTTGGTCGGGGGTCGGGCGGGGGTATCCCCGCGGTCGAACAAAAGGGTCGGCGGCAGGGGCGGCGAGCGTATATAACCTTCGGTTACCAACCGAAGGCCTCCGGCAAGGGAACGTGCGCGTGGCCGGCGCCCGGATTTAAGAGGCTTACGCCTGACAGCCGGGCGCCGGCCTAGCAGGGCCGGCGCCCCGTTTGCAACATGGGGCCAACGTACGCCAACGTACGGCAACATAGGCCCAACCCAGGAGAACATATGCCTAACATAGGTGTAACATAGTTTCCACATGGGTTTAAGATGTGCTCAACATACACCACATGGGCCCAACTTGGCCCAACCTAGTGCTAAGATGCGCACCAGATGGCCAAACTTTGGTCAGTATAGACCCCACCAAGGCTCAAAAAAAGAGAAAGAGAGAGACAGAGAACCCAACCTTGAGATCCAAAAAAGCCGCATAAAGAGGGTGTGTGTAGGGCACGGCACCTTCTCTTCTCTGTCGCTCTTGCTTTGTCTTTTTCATTCTCTCTCTCCCTTTCCTCTCTTTGTCTGTATCTGTCTCTGTCTTCGTCCTGGTATCTCTCTTTCTCTCTCTCTCTTTTTCGTGTCTCTGTCTTTCACTTTCTTTCCGTCTCTCGCTGTTTTTCTCTCTCCCCTCTCCTTTGCCTCTGTCTCCGTCGCGGTATCTGTCGGTAGCTGTCCCTGTCTCTTTCCCTATCCCTGCTATCAGGTTGTGGGGGAGCATCGCTCTCCCACCCTCGTTTACGAC